TGTTTGATTTTTGAATGTTAAACAAATTACCCATTTCTTGATAAACCCTATTTAGTTATAAGACATTATCCTTTCAATGTATTTTTGGATTCCAACTAAAATATTATTGGGAATTGTAAGTCTGGTAATCATTACAAATACCATTCTATGAGTATCTTTCCCTGACACCTTGTCCAGAGTAAAGTCTGTGGGTTTGGATTTGGGCTAATACTGACTTTTTAACATAAGCAGAAGCACCACTTCTACTACTTTCTGGCATACTTCATTCATAGAGAGGAAGAGGGAGGGAAAAAGGGAGGAGGGAGAGGGAGAGTGTGTGGGGTCTCTGGCTGCAGGAATCCAGGCGAGGCAAGTGATTTTCCACTGAATTGCCCTCTTACCAGCTGCCAAATTTTGTTAGTAAGGATTGTCTTTGTGGGAAGGTTTTTAACAATAAATTGAAATGTAAAAATATGTACATATACAGAGCCATGTACTTTATCTTCTTCTGGAGTTACTTTTGGTCGTTTGTCCATTGAGATTTTTTTCAACTTGCAAATGTGTTTGTGAATAAGATCTGTCATTTTGATAATGTTTGTAGGTGATACAGATACCTTTTACTTTGTTTCTAATATTGAGTTTGACCCATCTGAAGTTTAGGCATTTTTATTGACATTATCAAAGATCCAGAGTTAAATTTCATAGATTTTTTTTCTTTGTCAATTTTGAATTGCCTGATTCATTGGTTCTTGCTTAGTTTTCTTGTTTATTATTTATTACTTGTTTGTTTTATTTATTTTTCCTTTCCTTCTGATTACTTTGAGTTCTATTGGCTTTTTGTCTCCTTTGTCCTTTCCTACCTTTAAACAAAACTAGTGTTGAACTCACAGCCTTGTGCCTGCCTAGCATCCCACTCAGCCACACCCCAGCACTTATTGGCTTTAGATAGGTTCTAGTACTTTTGCCACAAACCATAATCCTCCTACCTAGGTCTCCATCATAACTGGGATCACAAGTTTCATGCCACTATGCACAGATTATTTTGAAAAATGGTCTCGCCAGCTTATTGCCTGGTGCCTTAAATAGCTATCCTTCAGTCGCTGCATCCCAAGTAGATAGAGTAACCGCAGGAGCCACTGTTCAGCCTTTTGGTAGGATGCCATGTCTAAGAATCTTACCTAGGGCCTCATACATATAAGTGATTCTTAGTTGCTTTTTTTTTTTTTTTAGGAGTAAAACTTGATTACAAACAGGTTTCATTGTGATATTTCTATACATATATACATATATATAAATGTACTTTGATTAAATTTATACTTCTGTTAATCTTTTATATTTGACCTCCCTCCTTTCTTCAACCTTCTTAAAATAGTTGTCATGGGGTTTAGTTATGCTACTTCACATATTTTATATATATATATATACTATGTCTGTGTCAGTATTCACCTCTGTCATCCTCTCTTTTCCCTTCTCTCCTCTCACTGTCCCTCACCTCCCCCCTAAGAAGACTATTCTACAATAATGCCATATTAATTTTTTTACATCTAGAGACAGCATATGAGGGAAAATGTGTGACATTTAATATGCTAATCTCACACAACATAATGATCTCTAATTGAAAGTATTTTCCTGCAACTGACATGATTTTATTCTTCTTTATGGCTGAATACTACTCTGTATATGTACGTATATGTGTATATGTATATAAATATGTATGTGTATATATATATACATTTTCCTTTATCTAGTCATTGGCTAATAGGCCCTAAATATTGATTCCATATTTTGGCTAGTGAGCATAATGCTCTTATAAGCATGGGTATAGGCCAGGTGCCAGTGGTTCCCTCTTAGAATCCTAGCTACTCAGGAAGCTGAGATATGAGAATTATAGTTTGAACCAGCCAGAGCAGGAAAGTTTGTGAGACTCTCATCTCCAGTTAACCATCAAAAAGCCAAAAGTGGATCTGTGGCTCAAGTAGTAGAGTGCTAGCCTTGAGCAGAAAAGGCTCAGAGACAGCACCTGGTCCTGAGTTCAAGCCCCAGGATTAGCACCAAAAAAGAAAAAAGAAGAGTTCCATAAAGTAGCAAGAGTAGACATGAAATGTTAGTGAATTGTGAGAGCATGTAGAATTTTTCCCCATAAGTTGAGATTTTAGCTGATACTTTTATAGAAATTGGCTGGAAGACAAATTGAAGATACATAATCTAAATAAAGACCTAGAATCGTGAATATATTATACTAGTTTGGGGAGAATCTATATTTCCTTTCTAAAGTAGAAGAGCAGTGCTTAGAGTGACCTTCTTTTAAGAAAATTTAGACACTTAGTCACTGTCTTTATCCCTTTAGAAGAACACTATAACTCTGGGCAGCCACAGGGCTTCCTTCATCAAAGCCAGTGATGTAAAGTATGGGAGAAGTTGTTCACAACAGCTTATTGATAACCCATGTTCCTTTTTACTCTGTGCCCTTGTATGGATGCCAATGCATTAAATATAATTATTGTCACTGAATAATTGTATAAATTGGTTTGATTTTTGGCATTCCACAGTTTGATCATTTGCAAGACACAACATTCTGCAGTCAGAATGCATTTTTAGTACATAATGTATCATAATTTTAGTTATTAGCCTTCTTTCGTGGTATTACATAAAATGGCAATGCAGACTCAAGCACCCCAGATTGTTAAAATATGGCATTTGGGGAACAATAGGTAGCAAGTATTAAAATTGAGAGAATTTTGTCATATTTTAATTCTAATATAATGTTCAAATCTTTTTTGACAATAATATTCTTCTTTTTACTGGGGCTAGTAGATAATATTTTAAAGTTTGTCTTAAAACAATAATAGCTAGGTACAGTGGCTCATACCTATAATCCTAGCCATTCAGAACCAGGGATTGGAAGGATCTTGCTCAATGTTACAAGACCCCAGCTTAATCAGTAGCTAGGTGGTGGTGTATACTTGTCATATCTGCTACATGGATGATTGAGATTGGAAGGATTAATGTACTAGGCCAGCTCGGGGGGTGGGGGGGGGGGGGCGGAATAAGACCGTATCTCTAAAATAACCAGAGTAAAAAGGCCTAGAGCCGAGGCTTAAGCAATGGGAGCATCTGCCTAGCTGATGCAAAGCCCTGAGTGCGGTCCTTAAGACCACCAAGACCAAGTAAGGAAAGCAATAATAGATTAATGAGCAGTGGGACAAGGGAGGTAAGAAACTGTAGTGAACTGTTTTATGTTACTTCAGATGATAACTTGTTGTGTAAACAAAATTGTTAACAGCCTTAAAGAGACATTAAGTCAGTGATCCATGTGGAGGTGTTGTGAATTTCTGAACTTGAAGTCTAACATACATTTATTGCTTCATTTTTCTCCAGTCATAGACATGTGTTGAGTACCTCCATGGCAGCTAGCAGTGTACTCAGCACTGTGACACTTCTTCCTTGTTCTTGGCAGATTTCTTAATACACTGAAACAGAGCAAGGATTGATAGTATATAATCCTGAATTCCAGAATTCCTAGTTGTGCTCCTTCTCTATTATGTTGTCAGACTGAAGGGTGAGATGTGGTTTGGGGTTTTCTTCCCTGCGGTGTCTGCAGCATGCTAGGGAAGAAGACTCCTCATATCCCCAGTCAAGAGAAGAGATCTGTGCATGTAGAAGTTAAGAGATGAGATCTATACTTCCTCTTGGCTCCCTCCCTCCCTCCCTCCCTCCCTCCCTCCCTCCCTCCCTCCCTTCCTTCCTTCCTTCCTTCCTTCCTTCCTTCCTTCCTTCCTTCCTTTTTTGTGGTACTACTAGGGTTTGCAAAGCAGGCATTTTTTCCACTTGAGCTCTGCCCATAGTCCTTTTTTAAGTTATTTTTTGATAAGTTCTCATAGTTTTTGCTCAAGGTCAGACTATGATCCTTCTTACCTTCTCCTCTTACGTAGCCAAAGTTTCAGCTATAAAGCCACTATACCAAGTCTATTTATTTATTGAGATGGGGTGTCATTAGTTTTATATCTGGACTGGCCTCAAACCACAGTCCTCATCTCTACCTATTAAGTAGCTGGGATTTATAGGCATTTCACTCCCCTCCTTTATAGGAAGTAGAGATCTAGATACTTGGACTCAGTATGTTTCCAAGTGAATAGTGGATAATTAAAGAATAATTTTAAATGATGATATGAAAAAGATGATATAGATAAATATTATTGAAAATATAATGAATATATATTGAGGATCATAGCAGGAATAACAGAAGCTTCTCAGTTTATATTGGACATTATTGAAATAGATTTAAAACACCAGAGACAAAGTTTCTCACTGTGGAAAGTGTAGCCTCAAACATTGAAACTGTTTCTAGAGACATAGTGATCAAGTTGTAAACTATAAGTTCATATAAACTGATTGGAGGAAATCACTGACGTTTCTTAAAACCAATCTAAATAATTAAGTACAGTTCTCTATCGGTTAAAAATGGGCATAGGCATATGTGTAATGTTTATTTGTTGCTTTTATTTTTTACTTTTATTATCTTTAAGTATTTGTTCAAAGAGGTTACCATTCAACAAATCAGTTTATAAATAATTCTTTCCCATCCCTCTCAAACCAACTCCTCCTCTCAGTTTTCCTAGTTTTATAGGCTATGCATTGAATGTTGGGATTGTGCTCTTCCCTATTCCTTCCTTCTGTGTCAGTAGCTGTTCCTTGAGTGAGTGAAGCAGCAGGGTAGTGAGAGGAAGTGAAGTCTAATGGTGCATGGTTTTCTCCTCTGGTAACTGAAGGTTAAATGGGTAGCAAGCAGAATGCCTTAAACAAGATTGGTATATTGATTAAAACGCTGATTTAACAGCTCTTGGTTTCCCTTTGGAAACCTGGGAAAGATAAGCCAGCTGCTGTCTAAGAGTGCCGAGTGTCCACGGAGAGTACACTATCTATCATCACAATATGGCAGTGAGAAGTGTTTTATGTTTGTGTTAATTTCCCCCACTAAATCAGTAATTATTACAATCCTGTCCCTGCTGTTTACCCTGCAGCTGTTTTTCCATTTGTCGAGAGAGCGAGTGTTCTCTGAGGACCGCACACGTTTCTATGGTGCAGAAATTGTCTCTGCCTTGGACTATCTACATTCTGGAAAGATTGTGTATCGCGATCTCAAGGTAAAATAAAAAAGTAATCAAAATTTGTTGTCTGTAGAGACCATTGGGACAAACGAAGTAATTAAAAAGTTACACAATTTTGAGAAAAGCAGATTTAGTTCAGAAAAAAAAGCACTTTGTTTAGGAATGTCCTGCTACTTTTGACAGGAAATTTCATTCTCTAACATGCATGTGGTTCCTGTGTGTTTGAGTTTTTTGGTATGCAAAATAATTTCTGCTTTACCATTCTGATTGACTGATCTACTAATAATAGTTTCATTTTTCTGTACGTGTTATAAAAAATTTTGAACATCTGCCGGGTGCTGGTGGCTCACGCCTGTAATCCTAGCTGTTCAGGCAGCTGAGTTCTGAGGATCATGATTCAAAGCCAGCCCGGGGAGGAAAAGTCCGTAAGACTCTTCTCTCCAACAAACCACTCAGAAAACCAGAAGTGGCGCAATGGCTCAAGTGGTAGAGCGCTAGCCTTGAGCTGAAGAGCTGAGGAACAGCGCTCAGGCCCAAAATTCAAGTCCTGCAACCAACAAAAAAAATTTTTTTTGGAACTTCTGAATAAAAGTCAAATAACTTTGCAAGTGACATACTAAAACAAGTTTCATTATATTCTGTCATCTTATGGTGTTATAAAGAAGCTTTTACAATAAATAAGACAGAAGGAAAACATTCATCTTGCTTAGAGTTACAACTTTTTGGTAGGTTTTGGTACCTGATGCATTTTAATATAGGATATTATTTGTTAAGCTTTTTATTCACAAAAGCATAGTCTGTGTTTTATTGATAAGAGCTTTGACCTCTCTTAAGTTTTAGTAGGATGAGAATCCAAGGACAGCTCAGATTGAGCAAGCATTCTGTGAAGGTGAGATAATAAATACTTCCATCTTTCCTGCTCATGAAGTCTTTGTTGCAGCGATTCAGTTCTGTTTGTGGACAATCCCATACATTATGGAACTGAGCATGTTTGCTGTGTCCTGATAAGATGTTATTGACAAAACAGGCAGTAGTCTAGATTTGGTCTACATACCATAGTTTACAGATCCCTGGAATAGAACATGTAAGCTAGTAATAATTCCCTTCACTCTTATAAATGAGGTTGCCTATATTAAGAAAATTTGTACTGTGGTGTGTTTTGAACCAGTTCTAAATGTTCTAGTCTTACTACCTTAAAACTCAATCTTAGGAGTGGGATAATAGCCTCATGATGATTGGCTTGCATAGCAAACATAAGGCTCTGAGTTCTATCCCCAGCAGTAGGTGGTGGAAAAGAACTATAAGTCAAATATAGTGACACATGCTTGTAATTCAGGCTACTCAGGATGCTGAAGCAGGATCATAACTTGAGGACAACCTGGGAAACTTAGTAAGACCTGCCCCTAGATAAAATAGACCAGGGATGTCATTCAGTGATAGAGCACTTGCTTAGAATATGTGATTCCCTGCGTTCAGTCCCCACTATAGGATGAAAATGTTGGTAGTGTAGTAATCTAGTTCAATTCAAGGTAGGCACCAGCGGCTCGTGCCTGTGATCCTAACTCCTCAGGAAGCTAAGATCTGAGGATTGCAGTTCAAAGCTAGCCCAAAGAAGGAAAAGTTGTGAGACTTATTTCTAATTAACCACCAAAAGCCAGAGGTGGAGCCTTTGCTCAAGCAGTAGAGTGCTGGCTTGGAGCATAAAACCTCAGGGACAATGCCCAGGCCCAGAGTTCAAGCCCCGAGACTGGCTTTGAAATGCAGAATTGCTCTACTGATTAAGTACCAGTTTATGTAAGCTGCAATTTGACTTAGAGAAATAGAAGTCACCTATGCCAGTGCCAGTGGCTCACACCTTGAAACCTAAGTACTCAGGAGGGTGATACTCAGGTACTCAGGTGGTACTCAGGAGGGTCAAAAGCTAGACTGGAGGCCTGGCTCAAGTTGTAAAGCCCCAGCTGAGTAAGCATGAGGCCCTGAGTCCAGACACTAGTGCCAAAAAAGATAAATAGACATATCTCTGGGGGCTGGGAAGTTGGCTCAGAATGCTTGCCTTGCATGCATGAAGCCCTGAGTTCGATTCCTCAGTATCACATAAGCAGAGAAGTGGCGCTGTGGCTCAAGTGGTAGAGAGCTAGCCTTGAGCTGAAGAGCTGAGGGACAGCGCCCAGGCCCAGAGTTAAGGCCCACAACCAGGCAAAAAAAAAAAAAAATTTGACTCTTAATTTATATTATGTAAGAATTTCTCTAGATTAAAATGGTCCTACTATGCTCCTTTATGCTATGAGTATCTCTCTTGTAAAATATAATTTTGTATAGTGACAAGTAAAATATTGAATGTAGTTGTATAATAAATTAATTATTAAACTTTTACCCAGGTGTGGTAGGACATAGCTATAATCCCATTGTGAGTTTTAGGCCAGCTTGGGCAAATAGTGAGTTTGAGTTGAGATCAGGATATATAGCAAGACCTTCTGTCAAAAAAAAAAAAAAATAGAAAAGTAACAGAGACTCTTAAGATACTGTATTTAGGAAAAATGAACTGTAATGCAACTAAAAAAAAGTTCATTAAGCCAGGCACCGGTGGCTCATGCCTGTAATCCTAGCTACTCAGGAAGCTAAGACCTGAGAATCGCGGTTCAAAGCCAGCCAGGGCAGGAAGGTCTGTGAGACTCTTATCTCCAATAAACCACTCAGAAAACCAGAAGTGGCGCTGTAGCTCAAGTGGTAGAGTGCTTGCCTTGAGCTGAAGAGCTGAGGGACAGCACCCAGGCCCAGAGTTCAAGCCCCATGACCGACCAAAAAAAAAAAAAAAGGTCCATTAGAAGATACCGATTTAAAGAAATTAGCTTTATAACATGGCAGAATATTTGTTAACTCCCAAAATATATTTTTCCTTCCTGAGTCTCCTTTTACCCATCTCATGTTTTAAGGATCCTATTTATAAGAACAAGAGGGGTAAGGTATGGATTTTAGGGATGTGAGCAATTTTAAAGTAGAGGGTAACACATTCATAGTCTGTGTAGCTAAAAGAATTGTTATCTTAAGTAACATTCATTAATTTGCTAGCATTGATATGGACTGTTATAATCAGGAGAATCTTGGTTGATATTCTCTATTTATCATCTCTAATCAAATGAATCAGTATATTAGTTATAGTCCAGTTAATCTAATACTCATTTTACTCTCTATTGCTTCTGATGATGGAATTAGACTGAATGCATTAAATTGCAACATTAAGTAGCTACTTTATGTATAATTTTCCAAATACAGCTATGACTAAACACTTACAAAGGTAAGCTAATACTGGAAGTATTAAGAATTAATTTCTTAGAAGTGTCATTGTCCAAAAAGAAATGTACTCATTACCTGAGTTCTGTAACTGTAACCCCTCTGTACATCACCTTTATAATATTTAAAAATAAAATTAAAAATAATTAATTTCTCCTAGAGCTTTATAAGGGGATAAAGTAATAAACTGCTGCTAAATTTTTGGAACAGCTAATCTTTCTACCTAGAGAGTATTTGTATTATACCATGTTTATTTGTATTAAACCATTTTTGAGACCTTAAGATGGCACAGATGTGGCCCCCCTAGCTTTTGACATTTCTCCCTGATATTCATCTCCAATAAATACTCTTAATGAAAAGACTGTGCTTGCTTTGCACACGAAGTCTGAAGACATGTTTTTCCACCCTCACTTCTAACCAGACGGCCTGTCTCATTCTCTCTTTTCTAGAAAACGTAGGCACTAGTTAGTATTGAGAACAGCTTCTACCTCTGAAGTTAAACTGTACTGTTGGGCCATGGTGCTTATTTTTATCAGGAGGGGGGAAGAGAGGCATGGCAGGTTCTCCAGTTTTACACAATGTGAATTATTTTTATTTGAGTGTGTTGGAAGTCAAAACTCATTCTTGCAGTATTGCAGTTCACTGAATTCCCTGTCTTTCAATACCTGTGTGTCAGTCTGTGACATATGGTAGATATCCATAAACCTGTGTGTGTGTGTGTGTGTCTGTCTGTCTGTCTGTCTGTCTTTCAATACCTGTGTGTCAGTCTGTGACATATGGTAGTTAGATATCCATAAACCCAAGTGTGTGTGTGTGTGTGTGTGTGTGTGTGTGTGTGTGTGTGTGTGTGTGTGTGTGTGTGTGTGTGTGTGTGTGTGTGTGTGTGTGTGTGTGTGTGTGTGCAGAGTAGGGACTCCTTATGGCCTTGGTGCCTGAACACTGAGCTCATTGTATGTTGGGGCTGGAACTCAGGGCATGAGCTCTGTCCTGAGTTTCTTTTACTCAGAGCTAGGACTCTACCCCAGCTCCACTTCCGGCTTTCTGGAGGTTACCTGGGGATAAGCATCTCATGTACTTTCCTACCTGGGCTGACTTTGAACTGCAGTCCTCAGATCTTAACCTCCTGAATAACTAGGATTGTAGCTGTGAGCCACTGGTACTGGCATGATGTATTGAGAGAGAGCTAAAGAAGAGCTTGGAGGTGAGAGTTTGCTTTTGTATAAAGGCAGCGCTGGCCAGGGCCTCCCTCTGCCACACAGCGCTCAGCGGGGCCCCTGCTTTCCCAGGCAGGAGTCCAGGCCTTAGCCTGTCTACCAACCGGCCACGCCCTACTCTGTGAAATGGAATGGAATTAAAAATGTATAGGACTTTGAGAGTTTAATTTTAGATGCAAAACCAGCAGGATCCTAATTTTTAGTGATCAGTAATTTTTGTTCACAATACACAGAGGACAAGATTTCGAGGTCTGCCATTACTGCATATGCACACTGAGTTAAGACCTCTGCCTGCCCATTTCAAAAACTGTTCGCTGTGTGTGTTCGTGTGTATGTGTAAATTCTATGGAGTATATGTCTAATTTCTTCTAAAAAGTGTGTGTGTTTCTCTTGTTTGGTTATTAAGTTTTGTAGTACTAGGTATCAAACCTAGAGCCTTGTGCATGCTAGGCAAGTGTTCTACCCTTGTTCTATACTGTACTCCACCCGTAAAGCCTGAGCTTGTGGATGATAGCCCTCTGACTGACTGCTCCTCATAGTATTATCTAGGTTTTACCAAAAAATCTTTCTTTCTCATGACCTCCTGTGTGACTTCATCCTTGCTTCTGCCAATGGATAAACCCATCAGCTATGAGCATTCGGCCCCTTCTGTCTTGGAAACTAACTATAATAATAAACCCAAATAGAGAGTGCCTGAACAATGAGAAACCATATGCATTTTGCATTTTACAGCTAATGAAAGGAAGAAGGAAAACCATGAGATGCAGAAGAGATAGCAGAAGAAAGATAATTTGTAAATTATCTTATTATCTATTGTAGGAAGAGGCCTATAAATGACTACTCAAGTTTATGTTAATATTAAAAGAACTGAATGCATAATTTCTAGGTGTCTTTGTTACCTTCATGTCATTAATCTGCTTTAAAAAACTTTTTTCTGTTACCTTCATATTCCTGAATAACTCTGATACTTTTTGTACTTGTTTTTATAGTAACATTTTTAGTGCACCTTGTGTGAGATATTATTTTTTGTAAAGATTTCACATTAGTTAGGTTATTTTAAGTTTAAGGGTATGTTTTAAGATAGTGCATCTCTCTTTGTTCATATCTGTGATGAAAAACTTGTTTGGGATTCAGCGAATGACATTTTGAGACAGGAAAACAATTGATGATAGCAGAAATAAAATAACTAAAATTGAAATTATTACACGTTTTATTATTTTCAAAATGATTTATTGTATATTGGTAGGTATTTTTAATGCAGTCATTGAACTAAGTACTTTCATGAAGTTTCCTTCCTGAATTTTTCTCCTCCCTTTAACAGTGTCATCTAGTAGCTCCCACATTTTGGTAACTTAGGAATTGATCATTAAATTCTTCATGTTTAAAAGAATGATTGTTTATTGAATGTTTACAGTTTAAGTTCTGCTTTCACCATTTTGGTGAGTTCTCAAAATCTTCATTGAAGCACATAGAAGTTAGCAGTATGCCAGTGACATACAGTGGAAAGGGGTCAGCTCTAAATTTAGTGTGAGCCTCAGGTTTGTACTTCACACTTAACCAACTTAGCTCTCTCCTGCCTCCCATTGCTGTGACCCATACTCTTCTCAGAATTATCCTCAGGTGAACTTCATTCTTACTATGTTATTGTAATTTTTTTAAAGCTGACTTACAAAACAAGTCGGGTGACCAAGTGTCTTGGTTTGCCCAGGCCTGTAGTTTATAGAACTTTCAAGTCCTACATGCTAGAAAGACCCTCAGCCCTGGACAGACTAGGAGCACTTGTCATCTATGTCGTATTTCTTACCCAGTCCTCTACAGAGGAGTTACAGTCAAGTAAAGAGTACACTTCCTTTTGGAAAGCCCTATTCTTCCTTTTAGCCCTCATCCCTTTGCCTTGTAAGGTTCGGAGCTGAGATACAAAGGTAGATAATTAGGTATAAGTTGGTATTAAACACACACTTTGCCTGATACAGTTTAAAAAATGTTTATATATTTTGATTCTTTTGTATATAGCCATTCAACATAACTGTTAGAATGTGGAGAGGTAGTATGTGCCATAGGTTTACACACACATGAGGCATGTGAAGAGAATTGTACAAATGAGTGGGAATGGGGTCAACATGCATTCACATGTTGTTCAGTATTGTTATGTATCCTTGGAAGCTTGTATAAAAATTCTTGTGTGTTAACAAAAGAGACAAAATTTTGTGCATGCTAATACCAAGGCTTAACCTCAGAGCCTTGTTCTCTCTCTCACATCTCACTCGACTTTCTTGTTTAGGAAGGGCTCTGTACCAGTTGAGCCATACCTTCAAGCATTTTACTGGTTAATTAGAGATGGAGTTTCTCCAACTTTTCTGCCAGGCTGGCTTCAATACTCAGTCTTCCAGGTCTCAGCATCCTGTGTATCTAAGAATATAGGCATGAGCCACTAGCACCTGGCCAAGAGGTGGATATTTTAAAAGATCTTTAAGTTTAGAGCATAAAGGCTTTTATTCAGCAAAGCAACACAAATTTAAATGTAAGGTTTTCTTATATTTAATTGTGGCAAATTAAGGAAAGAAGGGTGTTTGAAAGAACTGGAAAAGGAGAGAAATGAAAGACTTGAAGAAAAAGATGGGCAGAGAAAGAGATGGGAGGAATGAAAAGTAGAGAATCTTTACTGATGCTTCAGGTCGGATTTCGTATTTAGTATTTACCATCATTTGTGCAGATTAGGCTTGATTTCTAGAATCTAATTAGTTGAAAAGCATAAAGAAGTTGCAAAGCACCTGAATTTGGATAAAATGTAAAACTTGTTAAAAGTGGTCAGCGATGTATTTACAGCTTGTCCAACTTTCTGTAGGCTAATTAAAGAAAGGCTGGCTTCTTTGATGTGTGCCACAGCTGCAGTGTGTTTGGAACATTTAGCTGCCTTGGGGTCGGGCAGTGTGTGGAGGTATCGCGCCAGGGCTTAGGTCTCTCCACAGCTGCCTGACCTGCATTATCTGTTTTTTAAGACATTGGATAATGCATGTTGTCATTGCACTCCATATGATTGCTATATGATGTGTTCATGTTTTGCTATAAATTTGCTATTCAGAGTTTGAAGTAAACACTTCAAAGTACCGTCAAATTAAAGAGTAGAATAAATATTTCTTTAGAAAAAGTTAACTAAACCTCATTTGCTTATGTGTATTTTTCACAATTGTGTATTTCTTCTGCATAATGCTGTTTGAGCACACTTTAAAACTCATGCATACTTTTGTGTAATGAATGATAGTCATAACTTGGCTTCAAATTGTAGGGTGTTTAGTAACTATTGAATGGCTTCGATACTCTTTTGTTGTTGTTGTTGCTTGTGGGTTTTGAACTCTGGGCCTGGGCACTGTCCCTCAGCTCTTCAGCTAAAGGCAAGCGCTCTACTACGTAAGCCACAGTGCCACTTCCAGTTTTCTGAGCAATTTATTGGAGATAAGAGTCTCATGAACTTTCGTGCCCAGGCTGGCTTTGAACCACAATCCTCAGATCTCATCCTCCTGAGTAGCTAGAATTATAGGCGTGATCCGTCAGCCCCAGCTTTGGTACTCTTTTTTTCTCTCTCTCTTTTTACATTTAAAGGGGTTTCTACTTCATTTCAAAGAACTGCAAAAACAAAACAAAACAAAAAAAACCTTATCTCACAGAAAGAGATTTAGGTTCAATTTATAGCCACCACCAAAAAGCATTTCAAAATAAATATGTCTTGTTATTACAGTAGCTTCCCAAGAGAAATTTTAGAAAACTGTATGCATCTAGAAGAAGACACTCATCTTTTGGGACTTGTTTAATCATGTATTGTTTGGAAAAAAGCTTAGGGTTGATATTTGCTTCTAGAAGTTGATTAGACTTTAGTTCTCATAACTTAAACAATCTGTCTCTTAAACCTCTTTCTCTACTACTATAGAATTATACCACTATAAAATCTCTTATCACATTTCCACCAGTTTTTCATATAAAACTATACCACAGTTTCTAATAATTTTATCGTTATCAAGTATTTGATAGAATATATTTTACTTAGCTGGGCTCTGAGGGCTCATGCCTATAAATCCTTGCTACTCAGGAGGCTGAGATCTTGATGGAAGTTCAAAGCTAGCCTCATCAGAAAGTTATAAGATACTCCATCTCCAATTAACCAACAAAAAGCTGGGCTGGAGGAGTAGTTCAAACGTTAGAATGTCAGTTAAGTGAACACAAGGTCATCTCAAGCCCTGGTACCAGCACAGATAAACAAACTAACCAGTCAACGAAATGAATATGTTTTCCTTTATACATGAACATATATAAGTATTAAGAGTTCTGTGAACTAAAACTATGTTCTCTTTTGGAAATAGCCTACTCAGCATTCAGGTATTTTTCACAATAGTATTTTCCTATACTTGAAAACTATAGAATAAATTGTGTCATTTTTTTTTCCCATTCTTCTTAATATACAGTTGGAGAATTTGATGCTGGATAAAGATGGTCATATAAAAATTACAGACTTTGGACTTTGCAAAGAAGGGATCACAGATGCAGCCACCATGAAGACATTCTGTGGCACCCCAGAGTACCTGGCACCAGAGGTAGGCTTTCGTCCCTGTTAGGAAAAATAATAGTAATACAGTGTTTTACAAATAGAAACATTACAGCATTTGTAATTACAGTAGTTATTGCTACCTTTACCAGGTTTCAACCTGAATTGAATTTATTTGCTCTGACTTGTTTAATGTGGTGGTTTGGTTTTTCATTTGTTTGTTTGTAGGATGAGATTTGAACTCAGGGTGCTTGTTTCTTAGATCTTCTACCACTTGAGCTAATCCCATAGTTATTTTTGACTAAGGTTTTATGTTTTTTGCCAGGTTGGCCTAAACTGGGTTCTTCCAACCTATGCCTCCCAGGAAGCTGGGGTGACAGACTTGCATCACTATACCCATGTTATTGGTTGAGATGTGGTTTTGCTGAGTTTTTATCCAGGCTGGCTTCAAACTATCATTCTCTTGATCTTTGCCTCCCAAATAACTGTGGTTACAGGTGTGGGCCATTATGCCTGGCTAAAGAATATGCTTTAAAAAATAAACTTTATACAGTTCCCTAGCTAAAGTAGATTAAATAGATTTTATTTCTTGGTCATGCCCATTTTGGTTCCTTTTTTTGAAATACATTGTGAATTACTTCATGACTTCAGCAAGAATGTTCAGTCTTATAAATCATCTTGGACTTAGAAACAAAAACAATAGTGATTACTTGATTCATAATACTGAAGGGTTTTATACTTGACTACTAGAAGGCCAGACAAGTAATTATCTCCATTTTAGAGTTCATGTTCCAAACCTGAGCAAAGGCTTCACAATAATTCAAATGAACCAACCAATGAATGTCTCTGTGTGTGTGTGTGTGCACGCATATGTGTGCACATGTGCATATATGCCTGTACTGAGCTTTGTGCTCTCATTTAGTTTTTTGGCCCAAGGCTGGTGCTCTACCACTAGAGTCACACCCCACTCTTTGCCTTTTGCAGTTTATTGAAGATGAGTCTCATAGACTTTTCTTCCAAGCTGGCTTTGATCTCAGATCTCAGCCTCCTAAGTAGCTAGGATTACAAGTATGAGCCACCAGTGCCTTGTTATATTTGCTTTACATTGAAAAGCTTTCTGTATGATGTGCTCATGGGACAAGGCAGAAAGGCACTGTGCTCAGAGAACTTACAGTGATGAGGGGCAGGGCAAACCTAAGTGAATAACTTGATAGTTATGGAGCCTGTGGGGACTGTGGAGGCCACAGAGGCTGTGAGGGCTGTGGTGGCTCTGGTGGCTGTGAAGGCTGAAGGGGTCATGGGGGCTGTGGAGGCTGTGGGGCTGAAGGCATAGTGGGGAATGTGGAAGCCATGGGGGCCCTACAGGCCAAGAGAGGTGTGGAAGCTGCAGAGGCTGTTGGCAGGTGCACCAGCAGGACTGCTGTGTAACAAGCACCTCGGTTCTGAGTGGTGAGGCAGGCAGCCAGGATGGTGACTCATGCTCTGCCCGAAGCATCGTCACTCATCTATCAGGTGACAGATGAGGTAGCTTCAGGCTGCCCTCTGTGATAATCACCTTTGTCCTCGGCCACTTTATTGGAGCTGTTGACAGGAGCCTCTCCATACAGCCTCACTGCCGCCTATCCGTGTGCCCTCTTCATGCAGCCTCTCTTCATAGCCTCTCCATGTGGCCTCTTCATGCAGCCTCTCTTCATAGCCTCTCCATGTGGCCTCTCCATACAGCCTCTCCTTATAACCTCTGCATACAGCCTCTCCATGTGGGCTCTCCATGCAACAGTGACAACTTTGTATCATTTTGGCTTTGAGCTCTAACATTGAGTGGCCTAGGAACAAGTTAGAAGCTAAACTGTCAGGAGTTTAACTTCAAAAACATTTTTTCATGGGATATTTATTAGGATTTTAATACAATTCTCACCTTCCATAAAACTCCCATTTTAATGTGTACTAGTCTGAGTTTTTCTTTGTTTATACAGTTGTACATCTCTAATTCCAGAGTTTGTTAATTACCTCAGCTCCCCCCACCCCCACAATTACTAGTGTCCTTTTTGTTTCCACACCTATCCAGTACATTGTGTATATGTGGCGTTGAGGGCAGGGTATGGAGTCTTCGCTGCTTGGCTTCCTTCACTCACCAGTTGTCTTCTAGACTCGCCCCTGTTGTGCCATGTGACTGCTGCTTCATTTCTCTGTATGGCAGTATAATGTTCCATCTGATGGCTGTCTAACCACATCATGTTTATTCTTCAGGTAGTGGGAGGATATTTTAGTTTTGGCTTTGACAACTTATGGTGCTGTAGACAATCATGTTTGCATCTCCTTTTGTGACCTTACTTCAGAAGTTATACTTGGTTTTTGCCACAGGCACCCTGCTGGAAAGAGTTGTCAGCCTGCATGGATTTAAAGGCTAGAAATGAGGTGCCACCTCCCACTGTGAAAGAGGAGGAGGGAGGTTGTCTGTGATGATCAGAGGTCTGAGCCACACAAAGAAGGAAGAGATGGTCATGCAGAGGGAGCACCAATGAGAAAACTGAGGCCAGAACAATTTGATTTCCCCTTAATTGCAAGGAGGTTAGTGTGACCAGTCATGGTGGTGCACACTTGTAATCCCAGCTTCTTTGAAGGCAGAAGGAAGAAGAGCAAGAGTTTGAGGCCAGCCCAGATAGAATTAGGGAACCCTATTTCAAAAACAAAATATACAGTCATGGTGGTGCACACTTGTAATCACAGCTTCTTTGAAGGCAGAAGGAAGAGGAGCAAGAGTTTGAGGCCAGCCCAGATAGAATTAGGGAACCCTATTTCAAAAACAAAATATAGCCAGGCATGGTGGCTCACACCTGTAATCTTAGTTACTCAGGAGGCTGAGATCTGAAGATCACAGCTCAAAACCAGCCTGGGCAGGAAAGTCTATGAGACTCTTATCCCCAATTAACGACCAAAAATCCGTAAGGGGAGCTGTAGCTCAAGTGGTGGAATGCTGACCTTGAGCAGAAAAGCTCAAGGACAGCAGCCAGGCCCAAGTTCAAACCCAGGACTAGCACATTTACACACAAAAGAGAGGGGGAAAAAAAGCACAAATGGAAGAGCTAGGGGTGTGATAGAAGTGGTAGAGCTCCTGCCTTAGTGCACTCCATTGTGGAGCGAGTCCCCCAGCTGAGGTTTGTTGTGGCTAAAGTCAATTATAAAGACACTAATTTTTGATGCTTAATTAGAAATTATTGTCCATTAAAGATTACTTCACTAGATATTTGGAATAAGATTTTATGATATGTGTAGCAAACCTGATTTTCTTTTGGAAGATGAAATGACAGAGGTTCCAATTTTTTTTTAGGTAATCTGTACTAGGAGGTGGTGGAGGTATACTATAGTAATCAGGATCTAATTTGGTTTTTTGACCACAAAGTCCACTTTTACATTTATAACTACATGCATATTGCCCGAGAAAGTTAATTTCAAGGATAATTGCAGAAGTAAGTGAATATAATTTTTAGATGTCTTACAAATGCTCAATGGGAAATGGTAATCAAAAGTTTGGAAGAATAAATTCACCTTGATATTGACATTCTCATCTACAAAGTAACTAATATTGGTTTACTGTGATAATGTTTTTCAAGTAGAAATTAAATTTATATTGCCAAAATATTGTAAATAAATTCTAATATTGAAGTTGCCATAAATTTCCAATCACTATTATCTTGCATAACAGGGAAAATACTATTTCCTTGTTAGAGAGTCTAGGGTTTAAAATTCTCTACTTTTGTGCATGAATTAGGTAAAATTTCAGAAACACTGTTCTTGGTTTATTGAATTACAAGATCATATTTTCTAGAATAGAATTGTTTTGTGAATGTCATGAAAAAACAAATTCTTTGTTTCTCTGGTGTTTGGTTACTCTGGCTATACATTTTCTGTGAATGATGATGTGCCATTTTTAGAGTACCAAAATTAGTTGTGTCACAATTAGGGGAAGTTATTTCTGAAGATAAATACATCTCATTTCAGAAACAGATGATCTCCCAAGAAACAAAGATACTGTTTTCTATGCAAATGTCATCAACTGAAAAACAAAACCAGGAATTTAATACAAGAACATTCTGATTGTTTCTAAATAGAAAATTTATAATTTACAAGCAATTATCAATTTTGTTTTAAAAACAAAACCTTTCTGTAACTATCACATAGGTCTGGTTTTCAAAGCCATTTATATTCTCCACCCATGATTAATACAGGTTTGTTCATAATTAAAAAGTTGACACCTTATTTTTATGACTGATAATGATAGTTGTTTTTGTAGGTGAAAGATTTCAAAACAGTCATGTAAATAATTTTAATTTATGTAATTTAAATATTTGTACTTTATAATGGCTCATATTCTTAATACAAGCCATTCACTGAAGACCATTCATTTGTTCATTCATTCAAGAATTGTTCATTGACTGTTTATCAGGCATCAGGCCTTATGTCCACTAGTACATATATAAGAACAGTAAAAAGTCATTCTTACCCTCAGCTGCTGTGCAGTTCACTATGAGATGTGGTACAGAAAGTGATGCTTACCATGCATTATTACTGAGCAAGAACAGAAGTGTTTTACATTGAAGTGGCTAAATCTGCTGTAAACCCAAGGTCATCCAGGGAGGAAGACAGGGCACAGACTGGAGTGGAATGGCAGTATTTAGGTACATTTTGGGATGAGAGTCAGTGAGTTTCAAGCAGGGAGGTTATCTAGAGCAATGACATGGTCAGGATTAGGGAGGGACAGACAGGTTTGAAACTAGCCTTGCCCCTTATCATTCAATATCTGTCACTTTTTGAACCTTGAAATTTCTAGTGTACACTATTCTTACTGCTAGTCTTTTGGTAGCAGCAGTATAAGCCTGAGCTCTGTTTGAGAGCTGGCTCCCTTCTGCTCTGGTGAGGACCTGCTAACCATGCACAGAGATCTTGCTGCTCCCTTTCATGTAGCGCCATTACCTGGCATTTGTTTTACTTGGGTGGGAAGAGTGCGCTGTTAAAGATAGATGAAGGACATTCAACACAACAGAACCAGTC